CCTGACCTGACTAGATAGCGAACGACAAGATCCTGTCCGGCTGATTGGGATAGGCTCAGGAACTCCTCGTTTTCAAATAGAGGAGGCAATGACATGAGCATTTCCTACAATGGGTCATTGGTCATCAAACCCTCAGCGAACGATCTCCAAAACTGGATTTTCCAGGAAAAGAATACTTCGGTCAAGCCTATGTAAAGCTGCTCTCCCACTATCCCGGCTTCAAATGTTCTTTTGCAATAGTCAGAGCAACATGGGTCAGGATGCGTCATCACGGTCGCCTCGTCCGGTTAAGGTCGCAGCGTTCGAAGCGACCTAGTCCGGACGGGACATTATTGATGAGAGCTGAGTACATGACGTACTTCAGAAAGGGTTGCTAGTACTGCACTCAACGACAGGGGTCACACTTGTAGGTAGTGGGTAAGGTAGCGGGCCGATAGTCTTATTGGACAACCTACCAGCTCGCTACTTTACCTATAAGTGTGACCCTAGTTGCTCATTCAATTGACGCAACAATTGTGGGCGAAAGTTGAGAGACGGCGAATACCGTAGTAAATGCTTCATACTGACCTCACCTGGTTCACTGCTTTACTCAACTGGGCAAAATTATACATAAATTTAGTTATAACTGCTTATACTTCCCTTGATTACGGACAAGATGATATTGGGATGAGATTGAATAAGATCTCGTCCAGTAAAGTGACATCGCTCGATCTTCATAAGCAATTCGGTGACTTCTAAAAAAAGTATGCGAAAGATTATAAATATTTACAAGCTGATATTGCCATAATTGTATTCTTTTTTACTTGAGCATTTTCAGCTTTTCATTCAGTAACCCTCCGATACCTTCAGAAAGCAATTTACTAAGTTCAACTTCCTGCACTCCTAATCAAATATATTGAGGCTTTTTAATTTTATATAATTAAAAATTCCATGTGATTTTCATCATATGAGAAAGTTTGTTTTGGTAATCAGGTAGGAGTATTTCTTCAAAGCGGCCAACCTCTCGTTTTGGGATATCGAAGCCCAAGTCGAGTCGTGGTGGCTGATCGCTGTAGATCACATAGTGTCCCAAGAAAATGCTGTAACTATTCAATTTCATTCAGTACAGAAAGACGAACGTGGGAGGGCTGATAAAAGGGATAATGTGCTAAATTGATTATAATTAAATTAAATAATGTATCAAATTTTGATTTGTAATTCTTTATTCCAAGCCCTGATAAACACGTCATCTAGGCAAATTCTATAAACAAAAAAAAAATCACGGTGGGCAGAGGGCAATATGTGCTGAGTAACAATCACCCGTCCTCTGCATTACTTTACCCCCTCCCCCAATTTTTCCGTCTTCCAAATCGTACCTTAGCTGTATACGAGAATCCCGAAAACCTCTCGATCCCTTCTCAACTGTAACAAGCCAAGAGAATGAAGTAATCGAAAGAAATTAGATAGTCTGTACTTCTTACTACGCCGGGTCTCGGTCAATTATCAACCGGTTATCTTTCGTTTGACATCAAGCAATTAATCCCTGACCCTGAATAGTTTTTTACGTTTGAAGAAGCTAATGGACAGTTGCGGAGCAGTTTGTGACAGAAAATCGCCGATCATATGAAAAACACACACGTACAGCCGACATCATTCGGACAGTCAAAGCAATTGCTTAGACAAAGTCAATGATTTCGAAGTGTGTCCTGTTTAATACTTCCGGAAAATAACCGTAACTCACGGAATGTACGACTGAAGAAAAAAGTTGGGGGATGGGCCATGAATACCAAGTTGGTTTGAGATTCGTATTTCGATGCCTTTCATACTATTCATTGGCTTGTAAGGACATTTCGATTGAGGTGTCTCTTTCCTAGCAAGTCAGGTAGAACTAGACGGTAACGATACTGACTGTACTCAGAGTGCCCGCAATTCCGACTGAAAATCGAGCGCATGGCCTACTCCAAATAAAGTAAAACGAGCTCGTGCAGCCCGAAACTCTTCACTTCGTTCCGTGCTCACTAGATATCAGACTCAAACGCCATTAGATACAGCAGTATGAGTCGGAAGTCCCGATCTTAAGTGCGCTCCATAAATCTGTTAGTGAGGAGAATGGATAGACCTTCGGTGGGTTATAAGAGATAAAGCATCCTCTCCGCTGGTGAAATCCATTGATCCAAGAAATGGGGCTTGAATCAATGTTTCCATTTCCCACACAAAACAGGAATCATCTGACCGACCCCGGAAGGGTGAAAGTCCATTCAATTAGAGAGAAATTGAATTTGTAATTCGAAATATCAGAAAATAGTAGTCATCAAGTTAATAATTCTATCCTCCATTTCTGGATCAGTGCATGCATTTTTTTCCATTTTTCTCCAACAGTGAAACAAAAAAAAAACAATAAATAATCAACAAGAACTATTTATTGTTTTTTTACTTCTTTACGTCGACCTTGTTTACCACCTGCTCCCTCCTATTGACTAGATCGCCGATACCATTTCATAAGAAATGGGCACCCACATATTCAAGGTCATGAGTGATCCTATTCCTAATGATTCCCTCGTTTTCGAGGGTTGGGCCCCTCGTTTTGCTAGAAATTAGCCCAGAAGAGGATCATTCGTATTGTGGTAGACTTGACCTCATCTAGCAGAGGCTTTGTTGTAGACCACCCACATTACATGAAATGAAATGAACAATCCGGAGGGTAGGCTTGGAAATCCCTTAGGTGACCGAGGATTCAAGTTCCTGGGAGCAGTTCGTAGAACTGTACCACGTCGGACCTGGCGCTGTCGTGAAGCAAGATGGTTTAACTGGTTTCTTGCAGTTGAATAACCCAAGTAATACGATTTAAATCGGTTACATAGAGTTTTTGTTACCTGAACAGTTTTTCTCAATGCACTAGGTAAACCCATTCTCAAGCGAAATGAATTCATGTAATCGAAAGTTCCAGAATGTTGTCCAACACTGTATTGGATTATACAATAGCGTAATATCAGCTCTATCCTTAGCACATATGTTTTCAGCTGATCCTAATCTTCTTTATCAATGTACTGCAACTACGCAAAAAGGTCCCCATTTATAAGGAAAGGAAACTGTTATGCACTTTCAGATGATCTGACTGGAGTCGGACCCGTTCGAGTGCGTATGCGACCCGTACATTCAATAGAGTGACCAGTCGATGTGAATCCTCCCAGACGAGTCCCATGCCAATCAACCGACCCGAAGCGATGAAATACTTGCTTCGCCTGGGCGAGTATCGATGCGAGATTTGATCCCTAGACCATGCGGTGATTGAGCACGAATTGCCACTTCGTCAATTATTTCCTGTAGAAACTTTCCTTTCTGGAGCGAATACCCCGCGAACGATTTCATGTTTAGGAGTCGCGAATTCAGTTGTAAGGCCCTGCGCTAAGGACACTCATAAATAACCCCTCTTTTTGTGTACATATAAAATAGAACTAAAATAGCTTGATAAGTATTTTATGAATGCAACAACACCCTGTCACCTCACCAATCAGTAAACAAACAGAATTGTTGATGATAGGTGATTGCTGTATCGGCGCGGCTTCCCACTTGTTTGTGTGCTTTTGCGACGTGTTAAAGTCTTTTGTCCCCCAGGGACGGGGTCGCTTCCCATGAAAGGGCAAATAGTATCAAAATGGGCAGGGATTCAGATAGAATTTGAACCAAGGAATTGGAAAGGAACAGGGAAATGTCCAGGAAAGGGATTTCATAACGAAATATTTCGTCGCCGGTCCTGCACCCTTCGGAGCACTACTGGTCATGACCAGCTGTACGACTAAAACTTTAAAAAAATGATAACGTCAGTACTGAAAAAACCACTTTGACGAAGAAAATGCAGGAAACCCGGAAAATCCACCCTTCTTGCTCTTCATTTGCGGCAAAGTGAAGGTTGCATGAAGAGAATAGGTACGGTATTCGTCCAGTATACGTATACCCCGTAGGTGTTGGCATGCCCACCAGTGGACCTCGACGGCAATGGGCAATCCAAACGAAATAGTAGGGAAGGCGGGCCTTGTAAGAAATTCCCACCGTCGTACATGCATGTGATTGGGTTTTACTGCAATCCCGTACTCCTCCACTGAGGAATCAAATCCTACTTTCCCTTTGGGCGCTCCGACACGCGTCGGGTGCGACGAGCTCGTCACACCGTTCGGGTACAAGATCCCACACTAAACTCGCAGCTTGTCTAGCCCATTTCAAACCCGTTTTTCGACGCAGTAACGCTATATATCGTGTAGTGCTGGGAAAATGTTTTTGCCCGACAGTAACATGGGGAGCTAATTTCAAGCCCAGTTTGGTTCATAAAGTAGCAGCCCATGAAACAAGCAATGCCCATACCGTCGCAGAAACCCATTTTCTAGACGCGCCATACATTCGGCTTCTTGTTGAAACCGGAGAAGCGACTCCCTAATGGGATTACCATATACAATTCCTTTTTGGATAGGCTAATATGAAGTCTTTCGAGGTATGCTCGTGTCCTGTTGCTTCACCTTTCTCGAATTAATTTGTCAAAATAAAAAAAATCCGAAAAAAAGAAAATACCGTAAACTTTCAACGAGGCAGGAAGTTGGCAATGTTCGAATCATAAATCTTATCAACTGAAAAAACATCTGCTTTGATCTGAGAAGAAGAAAGGTCTGGCGGCCTGCTTCTTAAATGTAGATGATAAACGGGTTACGATAGCAACTTTCCCAGCTTACCGTATTATTAAAGTTTTTCAGAAATGTTCTCAGCACTTATATCATCCAGTTGTAACGGAACTGGTCTCCTTACTATTCGATCTGTTCTACGTGAATCAATCTATTGACGATAAGGAAGAATCAAGTTTTTTTCATAGACGATTCGAAGTATGCATTTACTTCATAGAAGTCATTCTTCTTAGAAATCTTCCTGACATAAAAAGGTCCCGCAAAACCCATCCCAAATACCCAAACACTTGAAAGCAAGTAAACTATATGAGCGGACAAGCAGACAGCAGCTATTCGGCAGTCGCTGGCCAGTTAGTTGCGCCACGTTCCACTCCGGTCAAATGTAACACTCTTTTTATACTTTTGGCTCGGACGGTATGCGATCCGGGTCCTTACTTGGGTTAACAGCGCCACTTCGTGGATGGATCGCTGCGTTAGATGTCAAGTCCGTATGAAAGCAGAACGGCAAAAAAAGGAAGGAAGAGGTTGATGGGTGAAGAACGGAGAGGGAGGGGAAAACGGAGGAGAGAGCACCGTTTTTCTCTAGCATTGAGCGCAGAGAAATATGTAGGAATAGCCGACGTTACTTATGTTGGCAAACGGTTCTTAGCAAAACAGAATAGTTTCTACCTGAGACTTAGAAGGGAAAGAGCACCGGGATGGTTGAAATGGTTGCACTAGCAAAAAGCTGGAATGGAGCAAGAACTGAACACTCAGTTGACTCACCAACCTCGGTGCTCCCTGCTCATGAGGTCTAGTTGAAAAAGCTATTCCAGGCTAAGAAGCGTTCAAGCGTTGTGCTCTACAAGACCCGTAGAACAGATGCAATCGAGAACGACAAGAATTCGTAGAACAATAAGACTTTGTTTGTAAACAAACAGGTAGTGTTGCCTATCCGAGAGAGAGGGAAACGAAATGAAAAAAACGGAGTGGAGACTAAAAACCAGCACAACAAAAGGAACTAGTAAGTTATTTGGAGGTCCGACGAGTCGGACCGAGTGCTAGCGATACCCACTTCACATTGAGTCGGAAAGCAAAAAAACTCTCGATCGGCTGCTCCCAGTGCTTTTATACGACGGTTTTGGGCCCCTGAGCCCCTTGCTCACAGAATTCATGTACTCAACACCGTTTAGCCCTATTGCCTATAACCTGGTAAAATTTCATTTTTGACAGTCCAAAATTAATATCCTCACCCTTCGGAGTTAAGTACGTGAACTGCACATGTTTATGTCAACCGAGATAAATAAATAAACAAATAAGTAAATGTGCGTTAATTGTAATAGAAATCGGAAACCTCTAATGTCGTTGAACACGAATTACGATCATCTTCCAAGTCCTCCTTGTCATCTTTGGATGCTCCAACGATAGAAGGTGTTTCAGCATGATGAATGATGTAGTTACTCTGGAGGAAATAAATAATAAATAAACAAATAAGTAAATAAATAAAGGTCGAGGAGGAAATGAAAAGAGAAGAAAACATGAAATACTACCCACCTGAGGCCGCATTGTGCGGAACTGATTGCAATGCTCGTGCCCGTTGACGTTCCGTTCTTTAACAGCTGATCGAGTGGGAAGGGCGTGTCCTGCAGGTGCGGGTCCAGAAAAGGCCCAGCACACAGCCAGCTACCAGACCGGAACCCTGGCTGGCCACGCCTTCCGACCACTTTCAAGAGTATAAGCTTATTCCTAAGTGATTACGAATTGCCAAGTACTGCCCTTGTAGGGATTCGGACCAGGAGGGGGGCCAGTTCTGAGGTTTGCCAAAAAAAACTGTGAAAAACCGCCCACTGTGCCGACACCTCGTCAAAACGAATTTCCGCGGCTTTCCTGGGTATTTGCCGACGGCTGATTGGAATTGACAGGCCTATTGTTGATCATAGCCATGATTCGCATTCACCACGATGAATATACGCTATAAGTGGGCCACACCAAGAGGGGGAAAAAAGGCGTGGTGGATTTTTCATGGGATTGTTTATTTACACTTTTCGAGAAGAGTAGGGTTGCTCTAGAGGTGCCTCCGCCACATACATGTAAAAAAATCCTGCCGTAAAATCGTCCAGCTCAAAACCTGCTCCATTTAAACAACTTTTCACTACCTTGGGGATCGTTTACTCTCCAGTTAGCACCTCACGGGGATAGCCAAGTAAGAAAAATACT